ACGTCCAGTAAGATGATATTTTGTTTGTGTTCATTATTCGTAATCAATGTAAGAAACTTCACCATTTTTGTATAATGTATTATTGTGTAATGATATTTAGTAATGACAGAGAGTACTAGTTTTAGACAACTTTTTGCTCCTTTTAAACCTGATTGTGGTACTGTACAAATCTGCCCTGTGTTTACTCTGTATAATAAATAAAAATATGGATATTATTCATAGTTTCCCTGAGCCTTTGCAGTTCCTTGTATTTTCATGCATTGGTACTTCTTCTTCATTATTATTATTATTATTATTATTCTCTGTCTAATGTATGGCCAGAACTATCTGTAAGCTTTCTTTTATCAAGCTTTTTAATGCCACTATCTTAGTTTTAAACGTGCATAATGTTTCCTGTATTTTTTCTTTCATTTTTTTCTTTTTTTTTAATTTTGATCTGAGAGGTAAAGTGGCAGCCTGGAATCATTTAAACTGAACCAAAGATATCAGTATTTGTCCAGTCTGCAAGTCTCCACTCTGTGCTATGCTTAATGCCACTATCTTAGTTTTAAACGTGCATAATGTTTCCTGTATTTTTTCTTTCATTTTTTTCTTTTTTTTTAATTTTGATCTGAGAGGTAAAGTGGCAGCCTGGAATCATTTAAACTGAACCAAAGATATCAGTATTTGTCCAGTCTGCAAGTCTCCACTCTGTGCTATGCTTAATGCCACTATCTTAGTTTTAAACGTGCATAATGTTTCCTGTATTTTTTCTTTCATTTTTTTCTTTTTTTTTAATTTTGATCTGAGAGGTAAAGTGGCAGCCTGGAATCATTTAAACTGAACCAAAGATATCAGTATTTGTCCAGTCTGCAAGTCTCCACTCTGTGCTATGCTTAATGCCACTATCTTAGTTTTAAACGTGCATAATGTTTCCTGTATTTTTTCTTTCATTTTTTTCTTTTTTTTTAATTTTGATCTGAGAGGTAAAGTGGCAGCCTGGAATCATTTAAACTGAACCAAAGATCTACAATTGTTGTCTTTTGTGCCATTGTGCATATTGATATTGCTGCATTGGGGATTAAGTGTAGGATCTAAGCCAATGTTTTTGACAGATACTTATTCAATTCCCAGCTTTAAAGCTTGTACTTGGCCAGATACATTTGGCCCACAAATGTAGCGGTATGTACCATACTTGGCACAAGCCTGTAGACAACATAGTGCAGCAGTGTTAAATCTTGTGCAGCTAATTGTGGTCCTTATGCTCTTGGAGATGAAATGGCAGCCATTTTTGGAATAAAAGCAGCTACACCCTCTCAGAGTAAAGAGTATTGAAGTAATTAAGGTATTTACCCTACTCAAGGAATGCTTGATAGGTTACAATTCACAGTGCAGGAAAGAAACCAGACAATAGAGATGTCAAGTCTTCCTTTTAGCACAATGGATAATTTGTGTCGTGTTGTGAATCCGAGCACAAGAGAGATTAAATTATTGATTCCTTCAGTCAAGCACAATGGTGAATAAATGTGTATCGTAACGTCCAGTAAGATGATATTTTGTTTGTGTTCATTATTCGTAATCAATGTAAGAAACTTCACCATTTTTGTATAATGTATTATTGTGTAATGATATTTAGTAATGACAGAGAGTACTAGTTTTAGACAACTTTTTGCTCCTTTTAAACCTGATTGTGGTACTGTACAAATCTGCCCTGTGTTTACTCTGTATAATAAATAAAAATATGGATATTATTCATAGTTTCCCTGAGCCTTTGCAGTTCCTTGTATTTTCATGCATTGGTACTTCTTCTTCATTATTATTATTATTATTATTATTATTCTCTGTCTAATGTATGGCCAGAACTATCTGTAAAGCTTTCTTTTTATCAAGGAATAAAACAAAGATGATAGATCTATTTTGTTTTATGACATATTCCATGAATCACAGATCCAGGTTCAGACATACTAAGGGTCACTGAAAATGTTCTTACAGGCATAATATTGACTTATGTAGTCAGAAATATTATGAAATGTTAAGATTCAACAAATTCTCAGCATAACAATCTATTTAAACTTTGTTTAAATGTGGCACAAAATTGTTGAAGAGCTAACTAAAATAAAGGTATCCTCTTCAGAGAATGCAGAATACTGTAGGATACACTTTCCCCCAAGTCAGATGTTCTACTTGTCATTACTAAATAGTTCTAATATCAGTCCCCAAGCTTATAGTATTGTTTGATACAATGCGACTAGTCAACACAAGATAATCCATTCATGTTACAGTATAGCAAGATAGACAACACTTATGCATACAATATGGATACAGATATGTCAAGTTTAGCCCAGGAGTAAGATGATGATGATAAATATCACAAATAAATGAAGGGAGTTGTCTAGGGAAGAGAAAGAGTAATTCAAGGTTCAATATATGTGACATAAAGCTTCAACTGACCAAAATTCCTCACTCAGAAGGGGAATTATTAGATGTGCACTTAAATGCATGGTTCTAGCATAGCTTCCAGAGAAGTCAAGATTCTGTCCTCAAATTTTAACATTAATCACACTCAATAGGGTTTGCAAAGAGAAGTGCACCTGCCACATCAAACAATGACATCACAGCTTTGCAGGTTAGTACTGGAGAGGAAGTCTACATATCACATAGATATCTATACCTGTCCACAAATAACACTAGATGATACATGGTAATGATGATACTGTGCTACTGTTCACACTAAAGCTACACTGGCCGTTTTCCTACTACCTGTAGTGGTTGCCAAGCGAGCCTAACGTGTGACAGTCAAAGGTGATGTCAGATGTTGAGAGGAGGTTGTGTTAATGATTCACTCAGGTCCATATCCTGGTAACTTTTGAGGTCAGTAGTAGGTACATCCTCAGTAATCATAGCATCACTGCTGCTTCCATCACTAGTGTCAGCTCCTTTTACTTGTCCATCAAACTGGTCTCCGTGCTCCTGATTGCCGAACTGGTCCCTGTGCTCTCGACTACCAATACGACTCGTATGCTCTTGGCCACCAAAGTGTTCGTTATGCTCTTGGCTGCTGAAACGATCCCGCACCTCTCTTCCTCCAAAGCGATCACTACCAAAAAAATTAAAATATAAGAATTAATTACATTTTAATGCATTACACATAACATTCAATGTGCAAAAGCAGTAGCAAAACAATAGTAGTAGAAACAGAGCACATAATTGCCATTTTCTATGAATATAAAATTACCAAGTACAATATTTAAAAATAAAGTTGCGATCTTTTTTTTTTTATTATCGTAAAACAAAAAAGTAAATAAATAAAAAATCCAAAATAAGTTTTACTGATAAGCTCTCCTACAATATGAAATATATTCCATTCTAAAATAATGAAGGGAGTTGTCTAGGGAAGAGAAAGAGTAATTCAAGGTTCAATATATGTGACATAAAGCTTCAACTGACCAAAATTCCTCACTCAGAAGGGGAATTATTAGATGTGCACTTAAATGCATGGTTCTAGCATAGCTTCCAGAGAAGTCAAGATTCTGTCCTCAAATTTTAACATTAATCACACTCAATAGGGTTTGCAAAGAGAAGTGCACCTGCCACATCATGTTCTTGACTACCGAATCGTTCATTATGATCTCGACTTCCAAAGCGATTCCCATGATCCTGTGCTCCAAAGCGATCAGAATGATCCTGATTGGAAAATGAGGCTGTTTGATCTGTTGTTAATGCTGGAGAAACTGGCTTGAATAAGTGAGGTGGAGGATCAGGCGTTGGGGCAGGGGTTTCAGCCAAAGATGCTGGTGAATATGGTGCTGTGGAGAGACCAGGAGATCCAGAGGAACATACAGATTCTGGAGTACCAACACTCCCAAGTGACCCTGGACCTGCAGGGCTTGGTGTACTCTCTAGACTGCCAACACTGAAAAGAAGCAAGATTAAGATTATAATTTACATAAAATACAATCCCTAAGTACCAAAAAAATTAAAATATAAGAATTAATTACATTTTAATGCATTACACATAACATTCAATGTGCAAAAGCAGTAGCAAAACAATAGTAGTAGAAACAGAGCACATAATTGCCATTTTCTATGAATATAAAATTACCAAGTACAATATTTAAAAATAAAGTTGCGATCTTTTTTTTTTTATTATCGTAAAACAAAAAAGTAAATAAATAAAAAATCCAAAATAAGTTTTACTGATAAGCTCTCCTACAATATGAAATATATTCCATTCTAAAATAATGAAGGACAACTTTGATATTCTAGCACTATTGAAAGCTCATTTTTATCATTGACAGATTATGAAATAACAAATCAATAATATTACTCTTACCCCTCCCACTACCCTGATATGGATCCATGCTGCTGTACAACTCCTTAGGGTTATTTACATCTACTTTATCAAAGGGATTTGCCCACCGGAAAATTCTGATTAAACATGAAGCAAAAAATGGGTGCCATGAGTGATAAAACAGTATCTCAAAACATAATAAAGGTCACTAACCTGTGAGGCTGAGTAATAAGTAATCCCCCTATGCAGCGATCAGGGGTGCATGTGGAGGCACGCTTGCTAGGCGTTAGGAAGGGTTCGCAACGTTCATCCATTTCCCACTTGCGCTTGAGACCTGCTCCAAGTGGTGATGGCCGTAATGCAATGGGACTTAGGCTACGTCTTGTAGCAAAAGTCTTTTTAGTAGGAGATGGAGAGGGGCAGAAGGAGGTGTTGCGGACATGTTGCTGAAGGGAAGGGGAGAAGCACTGACGTCCAACACCCCTCGTGGGGGAGGCACCACATCCAGTGAGGGGAGTCACTGTTGGGACTATGGTTAGGTGGAGAGGGTCTGTATAATCTCTACGCACGATGGGCATGCCTGTAGTTCCAGTAATAGAACTTGATACACTTGAAGCCACACTACTGCTGGGTACATTAATAGAGCTGGCCATAGTGCCGGGTATACTTCCACCACTCACACTGTGAGACTTAGGCCGGGCAACATCTTCAGTCTGTTGGAAAAAAATATATATTAAAAATATATTGCTCACACACAATACACATGCACACATACACACACAGTGGTAAATTATGTTAAGTAATGTATCTTCTTTACCTAAACAAAGTCACAAACAGTGGAGAGTGACTGATAAACCAACCATGAGCCCCCCTATACCTATCCTTATTCTAGCTATACCATAATATCATACCAGAAAACCCATATAACAAATATAAAAATTAGCTACTCATGTCAAGGCCAGCATGAGACCTTCCTACAACTGTTTGTGTCCCAAATGTTCTAAAATGGCTCCTATATCTCCAGTGAGTAGAAAACTGAATCCACTCTCTAGCAGCCCAGTACATATCCCAGGAATAAGTTGGGTTATGGTTAGTGGTTTAAAACAAAGATATATTTGAGAAACAAAGGCTTTCTTATGAGGAGAAGAGGAGACAGAAGTTAGTGTAGGAGAGAATGTGGAAGCAGATTATAGGATGAACATCTAAACTGCCTTGTACAACAGGTAAAGTGAGGAGGAGGAGTAGGAGGGAAATGCACTGGGAAGTGGTAAAGACCGGAGTATCTGGATTTAAAATGGCAAAAGAATTTGCCTGGGTAAGAAGATGGGGTAGAGGTGGGATGGTATGGGTAGGGGGAAGTGATACTGGGGGAGATGCAGAGACATCTTGGGAAGAAGGGTAAGAAACAGAACAAAGGAGAGCATTTCAAGTGATAGCAAGAGTATAACTGGTGGCACAGATTGAGGCCAATTTAGAATCTGGGAACTGCTACCTCAGACTTACATTTGTAGGCAGAAAAGCCTATAAAAATACATTATGAGAGCCACCACAACTGGCATATGTACATTTTTGTGCAGAGCAATTTGAATGTTCATGACCAGGTTGGGCAAGCAGAGGGCAACGGCCAGTGGTGCTTGGCCAAAACACCAAGATTTCTGACCCTGATAGGGGAGGAGTCGATACGGTCAGACAGGACAGGACTGCTAATATAAACTTCATGGAGGAGGTAATATCTACAGAAGTTAATCCTTGAAATATTGCTGTAAGACTTAAGGTGGACTCTGAGGGGAATAGTGTAGCACTGATACTGTCAATGAGGCAGGCAAGCAGGTCATTTTCACAGTCAGACTAATCCTTGTCATGCACAGGGATATCAGCTGGGGAGATAGAAACAGTTCTGACACAAGTATCAAAGGAGAACTGAGGCTGGGCAGTGAGGTTCGTTAGGGTAGAGCCATCTTTTCCAAAAGTTGTGGCTTAACCCTTTGTGACAGGTGAAGAAAGAAAGAAAAGAAAAGAAAAGAAAAGAAAAGAAAAGAAAAAAAACTGGAGATCAATGGCAATGTGCTGACTTTGAGAGTGGGAGTTCGGTACATCAAGCTGAATCACTAGCTCGTATCACTTTGGCGCGCCGCTGCAGTGTACAGCTGTAGGCCACAGATCAAGCGGTTTGTTTTGATGTCTCACGGCGTGACCCGTCGGGAAGGGATTAAGCAACACCTCTCATGCAACGGGTGGGGAAAAAAAAAGAAACAAAAAACAGCTAGCCATTCCAATTATGTCACAGCAGTAGGTGGAGCTTGCTTACTTGTTTTTGGAGACATGACATTGTTGGAAGAGGAGGGGCTCTACTATATAAAAAAAAAAAGTATAATTTTTTTTTTTTTTTTTTTTTTTAGACAATCCCTCTAACCTGGCCTAAACTGAGTACTTAAAAGGTTTGTAGATGTGGGAATAGTAGCAGGAGGAGGAGGAGTAGTAAGGATGAATAGTAGTAATAAAGGTCGGAGGAGCAAAAAATTAAGAAGATTGTGCAGGAATAAGAGATGGAGTAAAGGATGTTGGGAGAGAGGAAGGGGTGCATTCTGAAGGTTAAGTAATGGCCTGAGTAAATGATTCAGAATGGCCATATTGACAGTAAGCATTGAGGAGTAGGTAGTAGTAGCAGTTGATTGGAGTCATGTTCAAAGGAGAAGTGGGGGTTGGGAAACCAGAGAAGTTAATTTCAGAAAGGCTAGTCGAGGAATGGGCAAGCCTTAATGCCCATAATAAGGGTACAAAATATGTGGGAAAGAGAAATGGTCTGCCCCTCAATCTCCATGAAGGGTAAGGACTGGATGATTAACCAAAGGAATAGCATAAACATGGCTCAAAGAGGCTGTTCAGCACTGACACAAAGCCAGCCTTTCATTCATGAGTGGCAAGACTATAATGCCTTGCCCACTGTAATAAGAAGTTTATCAATTGTCTTTACATATAGATGGCTTTGCAAATGATTAGTCACCAAGGAGTCAGCTATTAGTCTTATCTATCTCATCCGTTAACACTTTTCCTTCATGTTTTTGAAAACTTCACTTCTATTATTTTATTGTCTTTGTTGTTATTAATCTTTTAATAACAATTTAATCATAATATCAATAAGAATGATACTGCCAATATTAGTAGTACTGGAAAGAAAAACGCATTTTCCAGCCAATTCAAGGAATGGGGAAATCAGGATCGGTCACTTGGGCCAACTGAGAGACTCCTTGCTGCTGAGCACATGTGGAGCCATCTGTAGGTAACAAAACTCACTAATTTCTAAAGGGGACAGTAAATAAGCCTGCTGACACTGGGTTAAGAAATGGACAGAAGAGATTGGAGAAGAGAAGGAAAAGGAAAGAGGGTGAAGAAAAGACAATGCAAATTTGGTTTGAGCCAAGGGCTGACATCCAAGGTAGGGGTGGATCCCCAACATTGGGCCTCAATCCCCATATCCTATATCACCCTATGATAACAACGGGAACGGGATTGGGGTGGTCCCATGGGAATCGAGGACATCAGGTTCACATCTCTTATGCTCATGTTTTTAGCTATCATTTAACCCCTACAATTCAAATGACATGACCATCACATCATGATAAAAATTTGGCTTGAGAGGCAGGTGACGTGAACACACCATCATGGGAAAATATGGCTGTGGGCCAGAGTGACATGAACTTGCCATCATGAGCATTTTGGTTGAAGTTCACAATGATGGGAAAGCCTCACCAGTAAGTATGCAAACCTCTTGGAGAGTGATTAGACTCATTTAGCATTCAGGAAAAGGCTTTTGCGCATCGCCACAGTGTACAGCTGTGTACCAAGTACCAAGGGGTTTGTTCTGACGCCACTAGGCATCATCCGGCAGTATCGGGTCAATGACAAATAACAAAATGTTACTTATTGTTATTATTCTTGCATTGTGTTATGGACTACCTAGAGAGATGGCATGGAGTCTGTGCAAGGAAAACAGTCTATTACCATCTGGATAAAGCAAATCAGATAACAAATGTGGACACTGGAAAATGGCAAAAAACTGAAAACATTTATGCAAAAAAGAAAATAACATTGCAGAAGGGAGGTATAGAGTCTTGTCACCGCACAGAAGTATTCATGAGCACGTGGCCTACAAACCATGCACCCATCAGAGTGGCCAAACAAGAAAGCCTAAATATACATATTTACATAAAATATATATATATATATATATATATATATATATATATATATATATATATATATATATATATATATATATATATATATATATATATATATATGTAATATATATATATATATATATATATATATATATATATATATATATATATATATATATATATATATTATATATATATATATATATATATGTAATATATATATATATATATATATATATATATATATATATATATATGTAATATATATATATATGTAATATATATATATATGTAATATATATATATATGTAATATATATATATATGTAATATATATATATATGTAATATATATATATATGTAATATATATATATATGTAATATATATATATATGTAATATATATATATATGTAATATATATATATATGTAATATATATATATATGTAATATATATATATATGTAATATATATATATATGTAATATATATATATATATATATTATATATATATATATATATATATATATATATATATATATATATATATATATATATATATATCATATATGAAAGGAAAACTGTCACAGTAAGCAATGAAATTGAAATGTAACGTTTCGAACCCTTCACGAGTTCCTCTTCAAACGAATGAAAATCCAAAAATGGATACAAGGAGAGAATTTTGACAAGAATATATAGTGGTTGAGAGACAGAACGACAAGAGCTGAATCAGGTCTCAGGAGGAAGGTCAAGGTCGAAGAGTCTAGGAGAGGCTTTGCTAACTAGTGAGGAGGTGAAGTCATCCAAGCCCCATTGACCAGCACTGAAGTTAAAGTTAGGCTTTTTTCTAATTAATAGAGATTCCAACATTTTCCTTTCGTATGAATTAGCTGATTTGTGAATTAATTTAGCGTTATTCCAGTTAAGCTGGTGACCTTCCTCACGCAAATGAACGAAACACGCATTTGAATCTCTGGCATATCTAACATCATGTTTATGTTCATTGATTCTTTTCTCAAAAGCTTTATCAGTCTCACCTATATAAAACTTGGGGCAATCCTTACAGGGTATAGTATAAATACCGGGAGAAGTCTCAAGAGCACCGCTAGCTGCATTGTGCTAAACTAAAGTATTACGCAATGTGTTTGGATACGTAAATACAATGTCAATTCCAATGCCTTTACACATGAATAATTAATAGATTGTTGTCACTATCCTGTTGAGTATTACAAGAATGAGTATAAAATTTCCATCTCGCAGATGAATGAACCTGATTTAACCCCTTGGTGCCGGGTGACGCTGATCGGCGTGTAAACAAAGCGCTCGAAAGCTGGCGTGCAGCCAAACAAGCCGGCGGTGCACCAAAGCGCGGCGAGCCAGTGATTCGGGCTGATGTCCCTTACTCATGCGCTCAAAGTTGGCGCGCCGCCTTTGTTTGAGTTTTTTTTTTTTTTTTTTGTACACCCTGCGCCATTGGGTTAAGAAAAAACGAAAAAAGAATTTCTCTATGGCAAGTGAACCGTTCAGACTTCAAGTTTTCAGTAAACTCAACAACCCCGCATGTACTATTAATTTTAAAGTAGAATGGGAAGATTCAGGTAAATTGCTTTTTCTTGATGTCCTTTTATTCAATGTAAATGGCTCTCTTAAATTTTAGGTTTACCGTAAACCTACACACACCACTGATTACCTTTATTTTTTCTCGAATCACCCGTTGTATGTTAAGAAGTCAGTAATCTCGTCCATGTTTTTAACCCATTCACGCTGGGTAAAAATGAACAAAAAATTGGGGAAAATGCTGTGTTAATTTTTTATACTTTTTGTGAAATTTCTGTACACTAGATGGCTCTGCCTTACCTGATTTCATTTGGCGGGAAAATGTATTTTTTACTAGTGCTATGAATATTGATGGTTATTTTTACTATAAACATTATAATTACTATAATATTATGAACATTAGTAACAGCTAAATAAGATAACGTAAAATATTTTCGTAAATTAAAGAAAAGGGTAAACAGACGACACAGGCCGTACATGTACAAGTGTAGCCATCTATGAGTAAAAACAATTAAACAAGTAAATTCACAGTGGGCCCGTCACGTATACGTGACACCCGGCGCAAATGGGTTAAGGGCATATAGGATTTGTTATTCTGAATTTATCTATCGAGAAATTGACGTCATATTTGAAAACATTTTCGAAACTAGGTTATCCTCGTTTTTTCTTAAATCAGGCTCATTTATCTGCGAGATGGAAATTTTATACTCATTCCAGTAATTTTATATTCATTCCCAGCTAATTCCAGCATCAACTTTCCATGATTCTCTGGGTACTTATTACTTTCCTCACCAGTAATTCTTGGTGTAGATCATGTTTCTGACTCATAGACTCATAACTGGGAAGATACATTGGTTAAAGATTTTTCTTTTTAAACATAATGGCAGGGAGCCTCTTAGTATGCTACTGTGTCTGCCGAAGACAATCCAACCTAGATTGACATAATTTCCTCTTTATATATTATTTATATATATATATATATATATATATATATATATATATATATATATATATATATATATATATATATATATATATATATATATATATATGAAAGGAAAACTGTCACAGTAAGCAATGAAATTGAAATGTAACGTTTCGAACCCTTCACGAGTTCCTCTTCAGACGAATGAAAATCCAAAAATGGACACAAGGAGAGAATTTTGACAAGAATATATAGTGGTTGAGAGACAGAACGACAAGAGCTGAATCAGGTCTCAGGAGGAGGGTCAAGGTCGAAGAGTCTAGAAAAGGCTTTGCTAACTAGTGAGGAGGTGAAGTCATCCAAGCCCCATTGACCAGCACTGAAGTTAAAGTTAGGCTTTTTTCTAATTAATAGAGATTCCAACATTTTCCTTTCGTATGAATTAGCTGATTTGTGAATTAATTTAGCGTTATTCCAGTTAAGCTGGTGACCTTCCTCACGCAAATGAACGAAACACGCATTTGAATCTCTGGCATATCTAACATCATGTTTATGTTCATTGATTCTTTTCTCAAAAGCTTTATCAGTCTCACCTATATAAAACTTGGGGCAATCCTTACAGGGTATAGTATAAATACCGGGAGAAGTCTCAAGAGCACCGCTAGCTGCATTGTGCTAAACTAAAGTATTACGCAATGTGTTTGGATACGTAAATACAATGTCAATTCCAATGCCTTTACACATGAATAATTAATAGATTGTTGTCACTATCCTGTTGAGTATTACAAGAATGAGTATAAAATTTCCATCTCGCAGATGAATGAACCTGATTTAACCCCTTGGTGCCGGGTGACGCTGATCGGCGTGTAAACAAAGCGCTCGAAAGCTGGCGTGCAGCCAAACAAGCCGGCGGTGCACCAAAGCGCGGCGAGCCAGTGATTCGGGCTGATGTCCCTTACTCATGCGCTCAAAGTTGGCGCGCCGCCTTTGTTTGAGTTTTTTTTTTTTTTGTTTTGTACACCCAGCGCCATTGGGTTAAGAAAAAACGAAAAAAAAAAATTCTCTATGGCAAGTGAACCGTTCAGACTTCAAGTTGTCAGTAAACTCAACAACCCCGCATGTACTATTAATTTTAAAGTAGAATGGGAAGATTCAGGTAAATTGCTTTTTCTTGATGTCCTTTTATTCAATGTAAATGGCTCTCTTAAATTTTAGGTTTACCGTAAACCTACACACACCACTGATTACCTTTATTTTTTCTCGAATCACCCGTTGTATGTTAAGAAGTCAGTAATCTCGTCCATGTTTTTAACCCATTCACGCTGGGTAAAAATGAACAAAAAATTGGGGAAAATGCTGTGTTAATTTTTTATACTTTTTGTGAAATTTCTGTACACTAGATGGCTCTGCCTTACCTGATTTCATTTGGCGGGAAAATGTATTTTTTACTAGTGCTATGAATATTGATGGTTATTTTTACTATAAACATTATAATTACTATAATATTATGAACATTAGTAACAGCTAAATAAGATAACGTAAAATATTTTCGTAAATTAAAGAAAAGGGTAAACAGACGACACAGGCCGTACATGTACAAGTGTAGCCATCTATGAGTAAAAACAATTAAACAAGTAAATTCACAGTGGGCCCGTCACGTATACGTGACACCCGGCGCAAATGGGTTAAGGGCATATAGGATTTGTTATTCTGAATTTATCTATCGAGAAATTGACGTCATATTTGAAACATTTTCGAAACTAGGTTATCCTCGTTTTTTCTTAAATCAGGCTCATTTATCTGCGAGATGGAAATTTTATACTCATTCCCAGCTAATTCCAGCATCAACCTTTCCATCCTTTTCTGGGTACTTATTACTTTCCTCACCAGTAATTCTTGGTGTAGATCATGTTTCTGACTCATAGACTCATAACTGGGAGGATACATTGGTTAAAGATTTTTCTTTTTAAACATAATGGCAGGGAGCCTCTTAGTATGCTACTGTGTCTGCCGAAGACAATCCAACCTAGATTGACATAATTTCCTCTTTATATATTATTTTATATATATATATATATATATATATATATATATATATATATATATATATATATATATATATATATATAAGTATATATATATATATATATATATATATATATATATATATATATATATATATATAAGTATATATAAGTATATATATATATATATATATATATATATATATATATATATATATATAATGTAGCTTGGTGTGTTTTTGTTGATGTCGTTATTGTAAAGTACCAAAAAAAAAAAAAAAAAAAAAAAAAAAAAAAAAAAAAAAAAAAAAAAAAAAACAATAATAATAATCTGTTACTCACTAAAGTAAGATCTTCCCATGACTGAGACAAACAGTCGGTAATCTGAAGAGTTGACTGGACTGTGCGTTCATGGGCAGCTTCACGGTTTACAACATCCATGCCTTCTTCAACACGCAACTGGCATACACGAAGTGGCCCACTCCCTCGGGTACTACCAGGAGACTGGAAGTGAAAATGTAATTATTACACCACTTTCACATGTAAGTACTTTATCAAACAATGGAATAGCTGTATACAATGGCAGCTCGCTCATAGGAGCTGCTGAGCTGCAGTCCCTCCAGACACTCATTGCCAGATGTACAACTCCATCAACTTCACACTAAAATAATATGCAACTAACAAATACAGCATAACAGTCTTCATATTCCATTTTCACTATATCTACAACTGATTTTTTTTTTTTACATTTTCATAAAAACAAGACAAATAGAAATTTTATGTTGCATGTTAATGAGGAATTTATTGGTGCTACATCTGGCAATAAGGAGCTAAATCTGATGCAGTCATAGTCAGTCCCATGTTCTGTTTGTTCTGCTTACTGGTTTTCAGTACATATAACTGAATACTTATAAATTCTTTTTGTCTAATCATAATATTCTTTGATTATTTTTCTTTTAACCATTATTATACTGTTGTGTGATGCTTCCAGCCACACATCCATTCTAATTTTCTATGAGCTACCACTGGCTACAGCTTAGTTAACATTACACACATGATAGCCTTTGGAAAGTTAATGTTACAATAACAACAAGAATATAGTAGTGTGAGGACCAATTGTGTAGGACAAGTAACAACAGCTTTATAGCTATTAAATTACTTGCTATCACACAATCAGCTCTACAGTTAAAGAGGAGGATATATTTATTGTTGCAAGCCATAAGTTACTTGTTGGGAAGCCACTGAACCTATAGTTTCAGTTTCATGATGAATATGAAAGTGTTTATTGTGACAAATGTAGATAGAGGTATGAATGAGAAGGAACGCCTTCACAGTGCAAGAGATGTATCTGACTGGTTTCAATTATATCTTCTTCGGAAATACAAGATGTTTTTCTGGCTTTCTTCTTTCACTGTTGAAGAAAGATTATATCTTAAACAGAAATACATCATGTATTTCTGATAGTGATATAATGAAAATTGGTTAAATATATCTCTTACTCTTTGAAGATATTCATTCTTATTCATAACTTTTCCAGATTTAAATATCATATGAGAATTTAGTTCTACTATTTTCACAAAGCCTTGATGATTATTCACAGGACAAGAAAAGTAAAATCACAGTTATTGTAAAAAGAAATCTTACATAATGATTTCCTATTATTTCTAACAATATCAATCACTGAACCTAAATGAATCCTTGAGACAGATTCCTAGTGTTTTACAATAGTGGAAAAGGTTTTTATGAGAAGAACTGAGAGATTCAAAGCACAACAAAGGAGCAATGCTATCGGCTGATACATTCCTCTTCACAACCAACTAGTCCTAAAACTATTTCACAAATTATAACACTTAATAATGTATAATTTCACTGTTGGAGCAATGTCATCACTGATACATTCCTCCCCCAGAAAAACTAATCATCAAACTACTACATGAAAGACAGCATTTAAAACTGTTCATCAATAACAGAAGAGAAAAGAACAAATCAACAGCAGTGGAAAGAAATGCTTCTCCTTCTCTTCCTTTTCTTTCTGAAGTAGAACC